GTGCTATCCATAAATACATAATACAAAAGTGGCAAAGTTAAATAATCTTCCTCACAAAAAGATAAGGGCTCATTTAATCAGTGGTTTTTGTTTGTTTTTTAATAAAAGCACAAATTTCTACATCTAACAGCACCTGGTTTTCTATCTTAGGTACTTATATGGTATCACAGTACCTGGACATGTCAAAATCTTTTTATCCTGAACACACACTACTGTGACGTAGGGAAGTACTATTAATACATTTTACAGATGGGGAAAATAAGGCAGTGATTTGCCCAAAGTTCACTCAAGAAGTTAGCAGTGGACCAGGAAATTGAAGCTGGGTTTCTTGAGCCCCAGCCTCGTGACCCAACACTCTTCTGGTGCACATTCAAAAAATAATAGCTATTAGGTACAATACTACAAGAGGATATACGAATAATTCACAGTGATACTGAAACTAATTTTTCATGATCAAAATGCAACTTCCTAGATAATTCTCCAAGAGCAATTCGAACCTGTCAAGCTTTTAATATTGCTAAGTAACATAATGCATACGTAAACACAGGAATATTTTCTCACCAGTAAATTTAGTAAATGCAATGATTTACTAGTACACTTAAGAGTCATGAATAATATAGGGGATTTTAGTACCTTTATATCAAGTAAAACCTTCCATTACAAAATATTTAATAAGAATCACTATATTATGCCTCACTTATAAAGACTGCATTTAATTAGATATTCAACCTCAAATATTGGTTCTAATTTAAATGGAATATTAGATTTTTAAATATTCGATGATTAAGACATCACATCATTACTTCGGATTTATTTTCCTAAAACCAAGAAGCAATAATTTATGGTGAAGTTATATGATCATTTTAAGATTTCATTCAAAAATGCACAATTCTCTGACAGTAGTTCTAACAGGGAAAATTTAGTTAATTACACTGAAACGTCTGCTCAGAATTTTGATTTAAATAACCAATATATGCACAATTATTTTTAAATGTAATAATAGTAAGAACTTTTATAGGAATTCATTGACATTAATATGGATAAAAGTCACTATGCACACAACTGGGGTCCTAGTCCTGCTTCAAGATCAGTACAGGTGTCCTTGCTAGCTGATCTCAATGCAGGATGGAACTTTGGTGTGAAATGAACATTTTAAAATGCAGTTATCATAATTTGCCTGACTGAAGCTGTGAACTGGTATATAATATAGGTATCAACCAACTATATTTTTTTTAAGACTTCTTAACTGACTGAAAGCTCCACAAAAGATTTAAGTAACTTTCTACAGACTACATCTAAAACACATGCATTCAATCCAAGTTACACGAGACGGTTCTATACAATTGTTACCACTTAACTTTCATCAACCACAGCAAATAAAAAAAATTAAGGACATAGTTTCAGAAATACCAGGTATTCAAACATTGTAAAATTATTCAAAAATACAGTTAAGGTGTCACTGTATGTTAAAGGGAAACCAGTAATATTAAAAAAAGTTATATTTGCCCCTTACCCCCCACCTACTATTTCACAAACTATACTTAAAACTGTTCAAGCTGAAGTAGAGATAAATATGGTAGAAGGAATCAGAGGCAGGTAAAAATATTTTATATTACTTTTAACTTTTTTTAAATGAATGGATATAATGTTGAAGACATCCCTTTCCACCGCTATTCCAAGTAAAAACTTCCACAAATGGTGCATGTTGTAGTGTGACATATAAGAACTTTGTTTAGCAGTTCAACCTGTGTAATGTGTAAAAATCAGTGTAATCAAGTTAGAATCTTCTTTCTGCATGAATAATTTAAACTGATTTTATCGTATGACACTTGTTAAGTGATTAGTTTATGATGTTTTGATCATATAACTTAAGACCAACATATAAGAACATCTCTGGTATTAAACCTGGGATGTGACCACTACCCATACACAATTCCAACTCACCCCCAAAAACACATTTTGTAGTTGAAAGGGACTTTTTATGGCCTGTAAAGTATGTTCAGGAATGTGTAAGCTATGTAAATATGTTTATTTTAAAAGAAAAAAAGGACATCCTGACTGTTGACATTAAAAAACACAAGAAAAATCAAAATCCAAAAAGCTGACAATCCTGAGATCATATGCTCATACACCTCCTTCTGTGCTACATTTAAAATCTAGTCTTTCCTTCTCAAAGTTATGAGCAATCTCTCTACCCACAAAAAAAGTTAACTCAACTAAGATTAATTTGCAGATTACATGTATAAAGAATGATTAAGTTATATAGAGAAAACAACTTAGTCCTATCCAGTACCTCAAAAGTTATACTAACTACCCCACTAACAACTTTGTCAAAGGTCTTCCTTGTGAAGCCTTCACAAACGTAATAAAAAAAAATCAAATGCTCACCAATTTATCAGGTTTAGTATTCTAATACATCCAATTATATTTTGTCATTCAGTACATGGAGCCTTCTTCCTTTATTATCTGTTCAGAATCTTCTACAGTGAATAAGAACCTTATGGAAAATAGCTATTTTGATACTAACTCCTCTGTGAAATATTCTGAACTATTTCTAAAACCAATCTTTCCATAAACTTAAACAAGTTAAAACCAGAAGTTGTCTCTGTCCAAATTAGTTTGTCTTCTCACAAACCTCTAATGTAAACCTAAAAAAAAAAAATAGGTTTATGATTTTTTTTTTAAGTCAGCAAAGTACAAAGTAGACACATTTTGTAACAATATTGAATGTATCATGCAAAACCCTGAGCCGGATAAGTGAGAAAAATCATTAACTAAAATTCAAGAATCTTCTTACCAAGAAGCCAAAAATAAGTATAAGCAGATGAATAGTTAAAAGGAAGTTCTGTTTTGTTATAGTATGTCCTTTTGACATATACATTTTAAAAAAATGTTTTAAGGACCAACCCTAAAACTGAGAAGTATGAAATTAGGTTTCTTGCTATTGGTTTTCCATTTTTACTATCATTACAGAAGTCATAAGTACGTACACTATTTAGCATAGCAATAAAATTGAAGTCTGTAAGCTTTATTTTAGAGCAAGAATTAGTCTTGTAGGTTTTATAATATTAACCTATATCTTGAAAATCCAGGTTTGTATTACTATCCACATCACAGAGAAATAAAAAGTTGCAAGAACTTAGAATGGAAGTCTGAAATGATAGCAACTCATTAAATCCATCAGTATGTTCCCAAAAGAGAATAAAAAATATTTACCAAAAATCCCAAATGCTTTACTAAGTAGTAGCTAGTGTTTTAAAAAATCTAAATGGTCACTTCCTGGGATCACACATTTTGTTTTTTAATAATCTTCAAAATTTTAGGCTGACACCCAAATCAATGTAACAGTACATATTCTGTACTACAGACACTTCACTCTCTCCATACAGAAGAAATCTAGTATCTGTGATGCAATACTGCTCATATTCTGAAGAGCAATAAGCTTATCTTGACTTTACTGTAAACCCATTCTAAATTCGAACCTCCTTCTGAAAATGAATACTATTTTCACTTCTTAAGATAGTTTTAGTGCTTGACTGAAGGTACTTCAATAGCAAATTCTACTTTTAGTTAATAGCATGTGATAAATAACAGAACTTAATTCTCAGTTTAATACATGACAATACAACCTTATATTGCATTAACTTTGCAACACACATTCAAAGACAAACATCTGTCCACTACTGCTACTATACTACATCTGTTCAAAGGACTATGCAGTTCTAATGCTTCATGGTTTGACTTGTTAGGACTAATAGAGTTAGATTACATATCCCCAAACAGGACATTTCTCAGAGTCCTATGTATTCAAAACATAGCAGTCAGCTGACAAAAAGAACCTCATCCCCTATTTTCGTTTGTGAAATGTCCTCATACACATAGGCATAAGTACATTAATGCACACAAGATCTACCAGCATAAAATATCACTGAATGGACCAATTAGTATTTTTAAAAAAAGAGACTGATTTTTAAATATGGATAGTTATTTTCTTATATTCAAACATGAACTTATTTGTTCAGTCAGTACATATTTTGTATCTATTTACACAAAGACCCAGGTAATAGCAAATCAAAACTACACATCCACTAAAATTATGTCTCTGATTCAAGTAGTTGAGTTACCAATTGAAAAAGGCATCAGTACATGCAGCACAGTAGGACAATTACATTTTATATTTGAACTAAAATCATATATCAAGATAAGAGGCACTATTCTGAACATGAGCAATGAAATCACTGTAAATGGGACAGGACACTGAAGTAAGAGAAATGTCAATACAGGCCACACTAGAATGCTTTAATTTCAAATGAGCACCAGTGTTAATCTCTACAATCACCATTTGCTAAATATAATACCCAATAATCTGCATGACACCATCATTAGGGACCAAATAAGTACTCAATCTCTATTTTGAGCTATATATGACAGAACCTAAAACACAAGTACAGAGCAGGTAATGTTCATGCCCAATCCTACATCAATCAACTGGAAGGAAGACAACATTCAACCTGGGATATGCTTTTTCTATAACAGACTGCCTCAATTTTTCACAAAACAAAGTAATACGGTTGCTAAAAACTGACCAACTTGCAAACACAATAACTGCACACACCTGGCCACACATTTGATTTTTTAATTTGATTTTGCTCGAAATAATTATGCCGACCCTAGCTATACAAATAACACAGGCAGGCACACTAGGTAATTGCTGTAAGGGTCTGATGCAATAGCTGTAGGTGCAGCACTCATTTTCATTTTAATCTCATCTCTATCCTGGGTGCAGGGCCTAGGCCGAGCGCTCAGCCTGCCCGCCTGGGCTCTGGCTGCACTGGGGAGGCACAGCGGATTCAGTCAGGAACATGGCAGCACTGTGGAAGGGGGAGGGGAGAACAGACGCGCATCCCTGCTCAGCATTAACACGACAGGTCGCTGGGGAGATGATCGCGGCTCCCAGAGGAACGGCGAGCCAAACGCCAGAGTGGGCCGGGCAAGGATACAGGTCAAATCTAAGTCGAAGCCATCCTCCTGGTATCTCCTTTTGTTCCTGCTGACGATCTCTTTGATGATGGCGGTCATGTCTGGGAGCCGGGGGCTGCTCAGGAACAGCGAAGACAGGCAGGGCAGAGGCGACGGCTTCTGCAGGATGCAGACGGCCCTGGCCTTGGTTGAGGCTGGTTCCCCTCTCCCCGCTGCTGCAGCGGCGGCCGCTGGGCTCTGGACGGCGGCCGGGTAATGGCTGCTGCTACTGCTAGATGGCACCGTGGACAGGGCCTGCCTCTGCGGCTCTGCCCGAGGCCCGCAGGCGGCGGCTGGGGACGGGGGAAGCAGCGAACCTTCCTCCCCCTGCGGCGGCAGCGGCTGCTCCCGGCGGCGGCGGCGGCCCCCTCCTTCCCCAGCTGCCCCGAGCGGCGCTGGAGCCGCGGCGGCGGCGGCGGCGGCGGAAGGGTTTAGAGTCGGCCCAGGTCCCTGAATGTGCCGCCGCCGCCGCCGCCGTCTTTGAGGCGATGGAGGCGGAGAGGGGAACTCTCCAGCGCGCCGGGCCCCAGAAATGGTGACAGCGGGTCGGGCCCCCCCGTCCCGCTCCGCTCCTCTCCGCTCCCCGCCCGGGGCGGCGGCGCAGCCCGCGCGTTGGGGCCGCGCAGCCGGGCGGGCGGGCGCTCCCTGCCTCGCGTGAGGAGAAGGCGGCGTGTCCGAAGGCGGCTCGCACGGAGAAGCGAGTCTGCGCGGGCTCAGGCGCTGCTGTGCGTGCGGGGCTGCAGGCCGCCCGCTCTCATCGGCCCCGGCCTCCTCCGCGCCCGAGCGACACTGAGCGCCTCAAATTTCCATCATGGCTGCAGCTTCCGAGGAGAGACGGAGACTGTCCCGCCCCCCGCCTCCTCCGCCGTCGCCACTGAGAAATAGTCCCGCCACATCAGCGTCCCGCTGCCGCCACGACCGCTGTTCCTCCCTTCCGCTGCCCCGCCCGCTCCTCGGCGCTCTCCTGCACCCCGGGGAAACGCTCTGATCGTAGAGAGGTTGGGAGATCCGTCCCGGGGAGCAAACGGTGAGCAGGCCACAGGGAAGCGGAAGGATATGTTCACGCTACCGCGGCCACGGAGTTACTGCCCGTGGAGTCACGTGGGGCTCGTCGGGGCCCTTTTCTGCCTGCGGCGCTCCACCCACCTCTCCCTGTGGTGGAGCGCAGCGCCTGCCCGCCTCTCCCGCGTAGGAGCTGGGGGGCTGGTTAGTGGGGCTGCAGCTCGGCTACTCCGGGGCAGAACCGGACCTTGGACCCATGCAGCCTGGCTGCCCCACGGAGGGGTGGGTGTAGTAATATGTAGGCACCTGCCCGCCGCGCGCGTACACCCCCCCCTTCCTTCCCCCCTCCCCCGGGTAGCAAGGCCAGGTACGGCCAATGCAGTGCTAACGCTATAGGCTGCTTCTGTCGTTCATGTTGTTTCCCTAATGTTAGGGAGCGGTCAAGAAAGGGGGCTCCACTGTGCTAGGCGCTGCTCACACAGACCAGATGGTCCCTACCCCCAAGGCTATATGATGTAACCTGACGGGCCAGCGTTGGGGAAGGGACATGGGACCCTAGCCCCTGTGAACAATCTAATAGTAGCAAATGGCATATCCGTTCCTTTTATTTTTGGGGAGGTGTTTAGGGGGTTACAGTGAGTGGGAATAAGCTAAAGGAAGTGGGAGAGGGTGACTGAGTAGGTGAGGAATGAGGCCAAGGAGAAGAGACAGGAGCAAACATCAGTATGGAGGAGAGCATGGTTCTTCAAAACTGTAGAAAATACTGATGATGTCACCAGAGTCCACTGGTTCCTGCTTTGAATGCAGATGCTGCTCCTGGTTGCTGGGACCACCATGTAGAGACTGGAAATGTGAGAACTGCTAGAGCATGCAGCATCTTCTCAGGTACTGGCTACAGTGGAAAGTTGTTTCCAAGGAGGAACAAATGCTATACACGAAAAACTGCAGGATAGCTGAGTTCAGGGAGTAGAGCAATCACCAAATGTGGTGGTCCTGGGGGCTGCATCAGGTGTAGGAGAAGCAGGAACCATATGTGGCGGATAGATAGTTTGTATTAAGCCCTGTAATATTAGGAATAGCTGCTGTGAGTACAGCTGGTTGAAATGTTTTAGTAAAATATGCTGTCTTGGCAAAGATTGCTTAAATGTTAACAGAAGTGTATCAGTTTCCATGAAACTTTCATTTGGAAACGTTTTGGGTCCTGGGCAGAGGTTCTATAGGTGGGTGGATTAGGATACTTAGCTGGGATTTGGGGGAGACCTAGGTTCATGTCCTTGCACTGAATCAAGCAGAGCAGGGACTCGAATTTGTCTTCTATAGTCCAGGCCAGTACTCTTAAACACCAGGATAGAGCGAGACTCACAACTACCTCTTTCCTCTGATGCAATTCTGTTTTCATGAAAATACAGAAGGAAAACAATTTTTTAAAGTTGGTGTGAAACAGAGTTGTCATTTCCAGTTAAGGTGAGTAAGTAATCAGTCTGCAGCATGGGTTATGGGTCCACCTGTTCTCTATGAGCAGGGAACACCTATAAACCAGCCACAACTCCTCTCCCCAAAAATTCAGGGACATAGTTGCTGTCTGTCATACCCTTCTTACACAAGTCCTACAACTAAGGCTATGTCTACACTACCCTTTTGTTGTTAAAATTTTTGTCGGTCAGGAGTGTGGAAAAAAACATATCCCTGACCCACAAAAGTTTTAAGGACAAAAAGCACCGGTGTGGACAGCATTTTGTCGGTGGGAGATGTGCTCCCTTTGACAAAGCTAGCATCCCTCATTGGGGGTGGTTTTATTTTGCCAGCAGGCGAGCTCCAGCCGGCAAAGAGCGGATACACTGCATATCTTACAACAACACGGTTGTAGCGGCACAGTTGTGCTGCTGTAAGGTACGCTGTGTAGACATAGCCTTACAGAGTGATGCTAAAAACATTAGACCAAAACCTAAAAGCATGATATATGAGACACTGGGAAGAAAGGTAAAAATAACCACAAGCAGGATGGTCACATAACCATAACAGATACCTCACAACGCAGATATGTGTAATAAGGTATGCTGTCCACACATATGCAATGATAACTAACAAGAAGTGGAAACACAAACCCAATGGAATGATTGTGTAATCCGCATAACAGAAAAGACTGAAGCAGAGAGATTTTTTTACTCCATTGTCTAAAATAGAAGGGAAGGAGATATTTCATCAATTATGAGAAATGATCAAAGACTTCAAACAATAACAATGAAAAAACCTGTGCATGAGGATAATGGTGGATGTAGCATGAAATCTATATAACAACCTGATACTTAATGAGAAACGTATATGAGATTAAACTACCAAAACAATGTGTTGTATCTACCTCTGGTAAAGAGCTGAGGTCTCTTTTCCTTTACATTTTAGCAACATTTTAGTATAACTTGTCATGCCAATTAATTAGTTTAAATTTTCTAAAGAATAAGCTCCAGCATAGAGGTGGTTTCTGAGCTAGTATATGGGCACCTACTGCCCCCTGCAGCCTCATAGGTCCCAGAGGAGTAAATCCAACCGGACAATAGGAACAGAGAGCAGGAGGGCACAGTAGCAGTACATTAACAACTGCAATTCACCAATTATGTTTCTTTCTCACCTCTTCCATACTCAACAGAGCTATATGTCTTGTTTTTGCATCATTCCCACCATACATATAGCTAAAGAGCATTGGAGACAGAGCATAGTGTGTAGATTATAAAAATCTCTCATATCTGCTACTTCAAATACTTGTACTCCACTTCTGCTAGTTCTGAGGAATTGCCCCTATGAACCCAATTGTGCCTCACCTGAATGGGAAAATTACTTGCTTTGTGTGACGATTTGGGGGTTCTCTCCATATCACTTTTGAATTGTCAGATATGTTATTAAACTGAATCATTAAATTACTGTGTCATGGAAAGCCTATATATGTATGTGGATCCACTATGACATAGCAGGAGTGTATTAGTCTCTGCCAGGCCAGAGACAATGGTGAGTGATCAGTACTCGACTGATCGTCTATTCAAAGTAAAACACCTTCGGACAATGGATTTGCTCTCGCTGAGAGAAAACACTTCCTCCTCTTGTCTGATGGAAGCAGTGGAAAGTTCCCAAAAGGCAAAACAAAAGAAGCAGGTACCCCAGAGTCTATCAAGGGGTGGGGATGGGAGGAGTAATTTTGCATCAGATTAAGATGAGAGAAGCTTCCATCATGAGGTTAGCTAGAATCCCCAAAGCTGACAAGTTGCAGAGAGATATTTCTCTCACAGCCACACACGCATCAGCAGATGGAACTTCTGCCTTTTGACTTGGAAAGCAAATGGATACCATCAATTATCAGTTTCTTTTTGAGCAGAAAGGTGAAGTATTGTCTAATGCTAAAATAAATTTCCTAACACTAGGGATGGTATACATATAAAAAACTCTTGAGGACATTCTAACACTGAGCATCAAGAATGGAAACACTATTTGAAAACAGCATCCTCCAAATTTAGGGGAGCTAGGTGGGAGAATGAGAATCCTGAGATAATATCTTCAAAGAAGCAGAATTACAAGGTAAGTAATTTTCTCTTCTTTAAAGATACTCTCTAAGCATAAGAATCCTTTGAAGACAGTAAGTAGCTTGAAGGATAGTGCAAATAAAATTAAAATAGTCTACACAATAGGCCTCTTAACAAAGACCTATTGAAAAACAACAGCTATGTTCTTTTGCTTTTTCAGCTATGTTCTTTTGCTTTTTCTTAAATAAAAGGCTGCAGTAGATACCTACAACAACAATGAAGCATAAATACAAGAGTCCTTGAGGGGTTCCACATGGACCTAGCGTGACCAGATGTCCCAATTTTATAGGAACAGTCCTGATTTTTGGGTCTTTTTCTTATATAGGCTCCTATTACTCCCCACCCCGTCCCGATTTTTCACACTTGCTGTCTGGTCACCCTACATGGATCCGAAAAAGAAAATACATCCAAATTAGCCAGAGTAGGGCCCTCTTGAAATCACTAGTAAAGCCTCAGTTGTCTTCAGTGTTGCAGAATCAAGCCCATCAGAGACATCACCCATAACAATGTACTAGTAGTAGAAGGGAAAACAGTATCATGCCATGTGTATTCTACCTTACCTTGTTTAATGAGAGGTCAGGTCACTTGTATCTCTTCCACTAGGATTTTTAAATCCAAACAACTGATCAGTTGTGAAAAATGCCCTCCCCATTGTTGTTAAATGCAAGTGCTCAAAATCAACACTTACATTTATTGCATGTATTATATTTGTTTTTCAAAAATGTTCCCTTTCTCCACTGTAAACAAACAAACAAACATAACCCAACAAGTGTTCCAAATCTATTTCCATTTATATTACTGGTTTCTAAATACATCTTTCACCAGGAAGTATACCATATGGGCTAGAACCTCAGATGTGGTTGACATAGGGTCAGCACATTTGGGGTGACAGCAACAGTGTCTCTTAGACACCTTTGCATTTCCCTTATCTTGCCATCTGCCAAGGGCATGTCTGGGCCCTGGAGTAACATGGATGTTGCTTTCGGTTACTTCTAACTGCCCACAACAAAAGGGTATATTCTAACAGCCCTGGCTTGCCAATAGCTTGGTGATGACCTGACTTACACTTCTTTTCTTCCATGGGGTTATGTTGGGCACTTTGATAGAGCCACTTATGCTAGCTCTGTGTAACGTGTGAGTTCCCCTTAAACAAATAGGGACCTGGTTAATCCAACTTTCTGGTTGCTTTGTGAATGACACCAAACAGGTGGAGCAGTCTAGAAATTGGGCCCTATGTGTTTAGAAAGCTATAATATAATGCAGCAAAGACATTGACTTCAATGGGACTACTCATGTGAGTAAAGTTAAACATATCCATGTTTGCAGGATTGGAGAATCAGATTTTGGACATTTGTTTGTCAAAATTTGGGTTTAGGATGTGGGTCTTTTAGGGAAAAAAATTAAAACTGAAAACCAAAATTTTCTAATGTTTGTACTAGGGCTGTCAAGCGATTAATCATGCAATTAAAAAAATTAATCGCACTGTTAAACAATAATAGATTACCATTTATTTAAATATATTTTTATGTTTTCTACATTTTCAAATATATTGATTTAAATTACAAAATGTACAGCGCTCATTTTATATTTATTTTTGATTACAAATATTTGCACTGTAAAAAACAAAAGAAAGTATTTTTCAATTCATGTAATACGAGTACTGTAGTGCAATCTCTTTGCCATGAAAGTTGAACTTACAAATGTAGAATTATGTACATAAAAATAACTGCATTCAAAAATAAAACAATGTAAAACTTTAGAGCCTACAAGTCCACTCCGTCCTATTTTTTGTTCAGCTAGTCGCTCAGACAAACAAGTTTGCATTTGCAGGAGATAAAGCTGCCCGTTTCTTGTTCACAATGTCACCTGAAAGTGAGAACAGGCGTTCACATGGCACTGTTGTAGCCAGCATCACAAGATATTTACATGCCAGATGCACTAAAGATTCATATGCCCCTTCATGCTTCAACCCCCATTCCAGAGGACATGTGTCCATGCTGATGATGGGTTCTGCTTGATAACAGTCCAAAACAGTGCAGACAGATGCATGTTCATTTTCATCATCTGAGTCAGATGCCACCCGCAGAAGGCTCATTTTCTTTTCTGGTGGTTCGGGTTCTGTAGTTTCCGCATCGGAATGTTGCTCTTTTAAGACTTCTGAAAGCATGCTTCACATCTCGTCCCGCTCAGATTTTGGAAAGTACTTCAGATTCTTAAACCTTGGGTGGAGTGCTGTAGCTATCTTTAGAAATCTCACATTGGTACCTTCTTTGCATTTTGTCAAATCTGCAGCGAAAGTGTACTTTAAAACACAATGTGCTGAGTCATCATCCAAGACAAATATAACATGAAATATATGGCAGAATGCAGGTAAAACAGAGCAGGAGACATAAAATTCTCCCCCAGAGAGTTCAGTCACAAATTTAATTAACGCATTATTTTTTTTAAGGAGCGTCATCAGCATGGAAGTATGTCCTCTGGAATGGTGGCCGAAGCATGAAGGGACATATGAATGTTTAGCATATCTGGGACGTAAATACCTTGCAATGCCAGCTACAAAAGTCCCATGCAAATACCTGTTCTCACTTTCTGGTGACATTGTAAATAAGAAGTGGGCAACATTATCTCCCGTAAATGTAAACAAACTTGTTTGTCTTTGCAGTTGGCTGAACAAGAAGTAGGACTGAGTGGACTTGTAGGCTCTAAAGTTTTACATTGTTTTATATTTGAGTGTAATTATGTAACAAAAATTTTTACATTTTTTAAATTGCACTTTCACGATAAAGAGATTTCACTACAGTACTTGTATGAGGTGAATTGAAAAATACTAATTCTTTTGTTTATCATTTTTACAGTGCAAATATTTGTAATAAAAATAATAATATAAAGTGAACAGTGTACACTTTGTATTCTGTGTTGTAATTGAAATCAATATATTTGAACATGTAGGAAAACATCCAAAAATATTTAATACATTTAAATTGGTATTCTATTCTTTAACAGTGCGATTAAAACTGAGATTAATCGCGATTAAATTTTTTTAGTTAATCACATGAGTTAACTGCGATTAATCAACAGCCCTAGTTTGTACCTTTATATTCACAGTATCTTTGGCATAATGTTAGCTAACAGCAGCAAGAAACTAAGGGATGAGAGTGCAGAGTCTATAAACAACTTTTCTTTTTGTATAAATCAGTGTTTACCAGCAAATATATTCCTTATCCCCAGTAGCGTAGCTAGCGGGGTGCAGGGGAAGCAGCCGCTTCCCCTCAGCACATTTTCCAAAGGCAGCGCCTGCCACCAGCATGGCCAGAGGAGCCATGTGGGGGGGCAGCGGGCGTGGCCGGAGGAGTGAGGGGGCTGGCTCCTCGGCCATCGCACTCCACGCTCAACGCGACCCCAACATCGCCGCAGCCACCTCCTGCCTGCGGCGGCTCAGGGCTGGGCGGCCAAGAGCTCCCCGCCCCTTGCTAATGCGGCAGCACCAGCATCTCCTGGCAGCGGCTCACGGCCCCCGCATCCCATCGCGGCGGGAGGGGAGAGGCAAAAGGTCCGCTGTGCCTTTAAGGCCGCCTGGCTGGCGAGCCCCGCGTGGAGCGCACCAAGCGCCGGGAGCGGGCTGGCAATTACCCCGGACAGTGACGGGAGGGTCAGGGCCCAGCCCGGCCCAGCCCAGCCCAGCCCATCAGCGCCATGGAGCAAGGCTCAGCCAGCAACTCACGAGCCGGAGCCAGGATCCGCCCATGGCACGGGGCCGGGATCGGACAGGGACAGGCTCTGGCGCGGCGCAGGAGCCTGGGGCGGGGGGACGGGACCCCACGGGTGGGGATGGGCGGCGCACCCCGGCGGGGACACCTGCAGAGCGGGCTGGGCAGGAGAGACTCTCCCGGGACCGTGGGGGGACGGGGGTATCCGCACCCCTGGGAAGCCCACAGGAGTCCTGAGCCGGGCCCTGGGGTTAATCTGGGGGGGGAACGGGAGGAGCCAAGGGGGGATGTGGCCAGAGGAGGAGACAAGGGGCGTGACCAGAGGAGGAGCCAAGGGAGGGCGCCTTTTTTATGTTTGCTTCCCCTACACTCAGAACCTGGCTACGCCACTACTTATCCCTTTCTGCAGGAGAATTTTACTTGAAGATATTGATTTAAATCTAAAGCCTTGATCATGCTGATCTGTGGGTGGACCTGCAGAGATTCACTGATTTTAGGGACCAGCCCTTATGCAGTCACTTGCAGGATCAGAGTATTAGGTATAAAGAAGTCAGAAATGTTGGTGTTGTTTAATATGTTCAATTAGTTGTTTTAATAATTTATTTCTAAGGTAATGTTAAGTGAATCACTAGCTTTAATAGAATTGAATATGGAATATATGAACTATGACCTTTGGACTCCATCCTTGTAGGCAAACATGTTTACAACTTAGACACTGGAGTCCTCTGGCTCAAACTGGACAGAACCAGTTTTTCCCGCCAAAAAGACTATATAAGAGCCTGCTCAGTGCCTGCGTGGAGCTGTCCATTCTAGCGGCAGCGCGTGCACGGTCGGGTCTTCCTAAACACTCCAAAGCTAGAGAGAAGAGTACCATCTATCCCGCAGCGAGGTTGAGGAAGGAGAGACCTGTCATCACTATCCTCGTCACAGCAAACTGAATCCATTTTACCTGTGGAGGGTCCTGCTTTCCTGGTATCCATCTTCCCAGACGGTCTCCCCGCCTGCAACGAAGTCCAACAGTCGTCGGAACTCCCCAGTAGTCCTCCCCGAAGGCTCTAAATCAGCCAGAGAGTAGAAAGTCCTGGGCTTCGCACCTGCACGCTGTGTCCACTGCACCTAAATCATAGGAAAGGTTTCTGTATTGGGGTTTCTTTTATTGTTTTCTAAACGCCAAGGGAGGTTTTGTGGGTCTGAGCTTCAAGCTCCTAAAACTAGTCACTGAATCACTGTATGGTTAAGTTTGTGTTTCTTCCCTTACCCCCCCATTTTCCCCAGTTTTCTGTACCTTTGCCCTTAATATACTTACTTTTGTTTGCACCATATTACCTTGTCTCTCTATATTTTTATTATATCACACAGGGAGGGAGGGATACCCTTATTGTAAGCTAAATCCACTGGTGACAGACACGGAAGTTAGCCGAATCTACTCTTCTGAGAAAAGGGGCTTTCCTTTTCTATCTTCCCCCCTACCATTTTTCTAGTATTTTCTCTCTGAAGCGTTACCTTACTCCCGTTGGGGTAACAAGAGCCTAAAATTATAAAGTCCTGTGTTGAGCCTCCAATATGGTGACCAGATGTCCCGATTTTATAGGGACAGTCCCGATTTTTGGGTCTTTTTCTTATATAGGTTCCTATTACCCACTACCCCCGTACTGATTTTTCACATTTGCTGTCTGTTCACCCTAGCCAAGAATATAGAATGTATTAAACTGATTTTGCTTCAGTAAGGCAGCAAATATTTGTACAAAAAACAATGTTATAAATAAGGTTTAATTTGTGGCAGAAATCAACACACAACCAAATTTGTGTGGCATAAAACATAAGCATCAACCTTAACTTTGAACTGACATTTGTTGGCTTGTGAAACAATTCTATTGTTTTTCTTTGTGTACTTCCTGAATTTTTCTTCATCTGTGAAGTTTAGTGGCCAAACAGTTTAGTGCTAAGATTTGGATTTTAGAGTTTTTTTGTTGTTTTTTTTTAAATGTGTATGTTTGAATTTAATTTATTCTTTATTTTCAGCAAACAGATTCTTTTTTGGGGAAGAGAGGTGGAGCAGGGAAGAATCCTAAACATTCTCCTGCAGTGCTGGTAACCCAAACACAACAGCCATTATGCTAGTGCACAAAACATAGAAAGTAAACTGATCAGTTTAGTTTCACAGTTCAAAATGAGCAAGTACAAAAAGTAAATAGTATAAGTGGAGTAAATTAGTAAGGCAAGCTGTTAGCATCACATTTTTTAAATTTATGCTGATTCTCTTGACAGTGCTCTTTGAGGTTTTTAAAAAGAAACAGGAAAGAAAATATTGTCTAGATTATAAATTTATTTGCCCTTTGAGACTGCAGCAGTTCTGAAAAAGGATGGTCTTGTGTAAACTGATATGCATATTTAGGCTGTCATGGTCTCTCCCTGTCAGGCTCAGAGGGGGGCCACTCTGCCTCACTGCGTCATACAGCAAACAGACCATCAGCGGTCTAGAGGCTCTGGCCTTTTGGGTGGGGCCATGCAACGCACAGGCTTTAGACCAGAGCCTCCTGGAAGGGGAAGACAGCAATTCACAGTCTAGGGGCCTGCGGCCTCCTAGCTGGGGCAGTCCACAGACCAGGCACAAGTCTTTCAGCCTCTGGTGAGTAAGCCACCACCGCAGGGGTGGGGGAACCTTGGCCCACCCCAGGGGTGGCTCCAGGCACCAGCGCAGCAAGTGCGTGCCTGGAGCGGCAAGCCACGCCGGTTCCCGTGAGGGCTGCAGTCAGGCTGTCTTCGGCAGCCTGCCTGCGGGAGGTCCGCCAGTCCCGTGGGTTCGGCGGCAATTCAGCAGCGGGTATGCCGAAGGCGCGGGACCGGCAGATCACCCACAGAAACCCTGCTGAATCTGCGTGACCAGCGGACCTCCCGCAGGCATGCCGCCGAAGGCAACCTGACTGCCGTGCTTGGGGCGGCAAAAAAACATAGAGCCGCCCCTGGCCCATCCTACTCCACAGGGTCCCAGCCCAGGGCCCTAACTGTGGCAGGTGGTTTTGCCACTGGGTTAGCGGGGATCCCACGGAAAGACGTAGCCTATGTATGTCTCACCTTTAGGGTATGTCTGGACTGCAAATGAAGGTGTGACTGTAGCACAGCTTTAATCTAGCTAACACAGGTAACAATAGCAATGTAGATGTGGTGGCATGGGCTTCAGCATAGGAACCTGAGTACAAGCCCTACACTGTATAGTAAATCCAGGTCTATGTTGCCCCTCTGCCTACAGACCCACTCTTTCCAAGCTCGCACTTGAACATCCACATAGTATCGATACATCTGCCTCATATCTGTGCTGATGCATCCATACTGCAGTATGCACACGAGTCAGATATTGTGGTTTCTTGGGGCTTATCTCAGGGATTGTTGCACCCTTATTAGCTGTAGCTGCTTTAGGGCTTGGTTCAGGGTATATTGTGGGAAACCTGTCTGTCCATCCACAGCACTTGAACGGAAGTACTCTTAGGCCATCAACACAATCAGCCAAGACATTTTTTAGGTGTGCATGCTCCCTGCAACTGGAGCCAGCAATATGGCTCCAGCGCCAGTGAAGAACTTCTGCTCACACTTTCACTCCTGTTTTGGGAATCAGGCAGAACATCTGGTGGACATTTTGGCAACAGTATTTGTCCTATCAAAGGCACACCTCAAATGGTGGCACAGATAGCATCCATGACCCATCTGATGTTGCTCTGGCATAAGCGCAGATTCCCCATATGTAGACTTGAGCTTCTGGAAGACTGACACGAGCACAGACTGATGGGATCACAGGGACCTGGATGACCAGCAATGGCTCCAGAACTTTTGCATGAAGAAGCAGACATTCTCAGAGCTTTGTGAGCAGCTTGCCCTGATCCTCCAGCATCAGGCCACATACAGAGGGACTGGGGAGGCCATGCCAGTCCAGAAGTGGATCTCTATTGCCATCTGGAAGCTGGCTATCCCAGACTGCTATGGGACCATAGCTAGCCAGTTTGGTGTTGGCAAGTCTACTATGAGGATTGTGGTGGTGGAGGTTTGTGGGGCAATCCGGACTGTGGTTTTTCCAAAGATTGAAGACATAAACAATCTCCCTGAAATAATTGCTGGTTTTGAGAGAATGGGCTTCCCAAGCTGCGCTAGGGTTATCAATAGCCATAGCGTGCCCTCTGTAAGGAGCACAAGAACAGAAACCACAAAGAGTACTATTCCATCATTATGCAGGCCCTGGTCACCCACAAAGCAGGTTCATAGGCACCAATGTGGGATGTACTAGCAAGGTGCATGATGCCAGGGTTTCCTAGAAATCATGACTTTACCTTTATAGACAAGCTTCACACATTATTTCCTCCAAAGGACATTGTTATAAATGAAGTCACTGTCCTGACTGTTATTCTAGGGGACACCAGGTATTTCCTTCTGCCATGGCTTATGAAACTGTATCCTGATCTCAGAGGGCCTGGTCAAAGAAGGTTTAACAACATACTCAGTCGCTGTAGGATGGTGGTAGAATGTGCATTTGGCAGACTGAAATCCACATGGCAGTGCCTTCAAAAGCATTTGGGTGCCAATGCTGTCAATGTCTTGTGCATTACTGTGGCCTGCAGTGCACTGCACAACATCTGTGAGGCCAAAGGTGAGCCATTTCACCAGAAGTGGGCTCAAGACACTGCTGAATTGCTGTAATGGTGCGTGCACTCAGAAAGTACACTTGTCATTACTGGGATAGAATCCACACACATAAGGGAAATCAGAGATGCTTTGTGTGCCCACATAATATGTTTGCAGGGTGACAGGATGAAGGTGAATGACATAGAATAATTATCCCACACTTAAATTATGCCCATTTATCCCACAATTTCTGAGGATGGGGCAGCTCAGAAAGATTTTTTTTAATGAATTTTATTATGCATTTTATGAAAACTGTTTATGTACCTCAACACACAGTTTATGGATTACTTTGTTTCATTTTAATTAATTTAATAGAACCAGCTCATGTAGCCTTGTTTGCAAATTAGACACTTTATTTTAAACATGCACATAAAAATTATAATTTTAAAACTTTTATAGGCAGACCAGCTGTCATGAAGATGTAAAAGACAGTAAACAAAAACAGTGCATGTTAAGAAAGCAAACAAACAAAAATGCAAAACAGCCCAACTACAAACATTGCCACCATAGCAGTTTCACTGTTGCTGGAATTGTGTCCTCCCTGTGTTCCCATTCTCCTTGGCTCTTCTGGTGTGTTTTGCACACGTGGGTTGTGGCTGAACAGGCGAGGAGGAATGAACAAAGTACATTTGACTGTTTCACTGTAGTGTTCATTGCTTAGGCCAGGGGTAGGCAACCTGTGGCACGTGTGCCAAAGGCAGCACGTGAGCTGATTTTCAGTGGCATTCACACTGCCCAGGTCCTGGCCACTGGTCTGGGGGACTGTGCATTTTAATTTAATTTTAAATGAAGCTTCTTAAACATTTTAAAAACCTTATTTACTTTACATTCAACAATAGTTTAGTTATATATTATAGAGTTATAGAAAGAGACCTTCTAAAAACGCTAAAATGTATTACTGGCATGTGAAACATTAAATTAGAGTGAATAAATGAAGACATGGCACACCACTTCTGAAAAATTGCCGACCCCTGGCTTAGGCCATCGACCAGCCAACCCCGGGATTGTCCAAAAGCTGCAGAGGCTGCAGGACTTAGTAGCATTGAGCGGACTTAGTGTGGAGGGATTGGAGCTAGAGCTTGCAGCCTGGTGGCCATGAGAGCAAGCAACCTCTCAAAAAACTCCTGCTGTGCTCTGTCTTTCTCTGATCATGCTCCAGGAATTTTGCTGCCAATTTCTCCTCATACTGGGCAGCCTCTCTTTCTTTTTCTAGTCTTCTGTCCTTCTTCTTTCTCTGATAGCCAAGCTGTTCATTGTCTGTGGCCAACACATCCAGCATCTTTTCATCCCCAGCCAAGGGAGACAGGAGACTGAACCACAGGGGATCAATAAACTAATAGTGCTGTAGTGAAGGGAAGGGTGTATTTACCCCAGTTAAGTTAATAAGCTGTAATGTACTCTTTAAAAGAGCAACAAACTTAATATCTTCTGTGAATGTAGAGCAG